AGTAGTCCAAAAGTCAGTTTACCACGCTTTAAGTATACTTAAAAATCGCGAATCGTCAGTGGAAACAGGAGAAAACAATACGATGGCGTATCCGTTTAGTCTCGACTGCGGTTAACTGAGTTTTTGGCCACCCTGCGTATAAAATTCTCTAGGATAGTTTATAGTATATTAAATAGTACCGCAAAGCGTAAAGAGAGGAAGATGACGTTAAATATTATATAAAAAATATACGAAATTATACAATTTCTATCGATAAGGGCCATAATTATTTGACGTGTTTCGGCTCTTCTCAATGGACACATTTAGGATTATTTTTATTGAAATCCTGTTTTATTAGACACTTTTGAGTAGTGTATAGTTATTAAGTTATACTTGATCTATCCGGGTAGAGGACACTCTCGAATGCTACTTAAATTGGAACCTAGTGGAAAACATCCAATGAAGTAGTGGTTTCGAGCCTGATCAACGGGTTAGCACGTATAGTTCACTGGATTTTCTTTCGCGTGTCTGACAGCTAAATAGGATCCTGTTCCCATAGGAAATGCTTCTAGGAGGCATCTGCCCTTGGCAGGTTGCCCGTGTGTTGCGTCGCCGCATCCCATTACCCAAATTGCTCAAGTATCATCCCGATAATTTCCTTGTCTCTTCGTTAAACACTGAAAAATAGGGAATTTATAATAAATTCATCAAATTTAGTCTTTAATGTTGTCTGTCAGAGCCCGGAGTTATTCCCTAATCCACTTTATATCGATTTTTTTGCCGTTTGAAGCCAAGATGTTGGTTTCTTGGAGATCCAGATGATCCAGTGATGCTTCGTCTTCTTTATAATTTCACTAGTTCTATCGATTTTCGGGCGATTCAAAATCCTTTCGGCTGTGTCCGGAGAGGTTTAGAGAGGAAGAGATTTCGTGTGAATTCAGAATAAAAATGAATAATTTCATGAACTTTTATATTATAAATCTCTGAATCAGTTTTATCTGCTTGATCGAAGGGCGAGAATGTAGCTATGTAAAGTGAGCCTTCACCTTAACTTAATATCCTACGGAGATTAAGTTAATGTGGAGGCTGGACTACCATCAGTTCATCCTCGTTGTACTGGTAGAAGTTTTCGTATACTTCGGTTTATCGCTTCGTTTATTCAGATAAGGCTTCTTAACCATCTTCTGATAAAGGAGATCGAAGCTCCCATGTTTCCCTCGTGTTGTGATTGTTATTCATAGACAAATTAAAGCTTCAAACTGGCGAGTGTGCCACTCTTCCTGCTGTTCTTTCGCATCCACAAGTCAAAAGTCATAAATTAGAGCCAAAATAAAAAATTTAGAATTCCCTCTCTTTCTCTCTCTTTTCCTCTCTATGGCTAATTTAAATTTTCTAATAAAGAAGACAAACTTTGAGAAGATGCTTAAGTCCGATGGCAATGCACTTTAATGATGTTTAGGGGACCCCATTCCAAAACCCGAAAACAATAGTATGGCGGAGCCACCCCGCATCGTCGTCTTCATCTACTTCCATCCACCATACCGGCAATCTCGAAAAAATCTTAATTTTAATTACCGTAAAACTTTTTATTTTTCTGTATGATTTCATTAAATTTTGGACTTTTTAAAGAGCTAAACGTTAATTTTCTTCGATTTTTGAGCTAAAATTTATATTTTAATCCTCACTTACTTGGCTCTTAACGCCCTCGAACACTTAAAAATAGATTTCTAGCGTCTAAAATTGATTTAGGATCGTGTGTTGTGGTGTTAGCAATAACATTTTTAAGGTTTACTCTCTTAAACTTTTGTGTTTAATAACTTGTTCGCTGCATTATTTTCTCCCCCGAAATTGTCTCGCTGGAATAAACATTAATTATATTAAATTTTTTCCTAAATTGTTCGAATTTCTGCCAAAGAAAGGACCCTTAAATAAAGAATCCTATGAAAATTATGCGATGGGTTATATCTAATCACACAGAAATGGCAAGAAACTGTAATTTCTGACAATCTATATTTACTGATTGAGATACAAAGATGATTATACAAAACACACGCGGAATGATGCACTCGTGATACACGTGCATACGTATCACACTATACACACGTTTGCCGCGAGTAGGCCCGTGTCCTCTATACACAGGGTTTTTGCTGTGTATAGAGACTTGACTTCTGTAGTGCTCATATTGGAAATTTTCCAGACAATTTATATACTTGACACATGTTCAATAGTGTAGAAATGTATAAACAGAACGTGCACGTAAACAATACGCCGAAGCGATGACGTAAAATCGACTCCTGAACATCACCATAAACAATGATGGAAGCTGATCTAAAGTGTAAACAGTCGAAAGGGATCAATTTAAGGAATTTTATTTATATTGTAACCGTAGAGGGGAAGGAAGAGGACTTTGTTTGGCTGGACAATACAAAAGTCTAGACACACTCGAGTAGATGCGGATTGTCACGTGATTTAAGGATGATTAATTACAGAATTATCATCAGTTTCTTTTAAAGTAAACGAGAAACGTGCACCCATAAAAAAAGTGACGTATAATAAATTATTCATACTCTGAAGACCCCCTTCGAACTGTTTTGTAGGCTGTTTACTGCATAAAATAATCATTGAAACCTTACCGTATGACCTAGAAGTTTCGTGTTTTCGCGACCTGTTTCATTATAATGATCATCCAGAGTGGCTCAAAAGTCGGGTAACCGCGCTTTTTTGCAAGAAGCCTAAGAAAGTAATTTGTAATTTGGTGTCGAAGGAGGATCTAAAATAGAGGAAGAAATTGATTTTTCACGACGGTTAATTGACTTTTGGGCCAACCGGAGCCCTATATACACTGGTTGCCCTGCTCTTCCTCCTCCACGTTTCTACAGAAAAGGACACTCCCGAACATTATTTTGCTACTGTAACGAACAATTTATTCATCACGAAATATTGCATGAGTGCATACTTAATCTAAAAGTACAGTGTTGTTTGTACAATGTGTTACTATATTTTGACATTGATTTTTCCGTAATATGTCGCTAGATTTCTACGAAAATATTCGTTTGGATAATTCTAAACACCATTTTTAGGAAGTTTAATCGGATCTCGGCATCCGATCGTTTGTCTGATCTGCTCGAACTCATTCGGTTTAGAGTCTTAAAAAGATTTCTACAGTAAATTCGTTTTATTTAAGAGATAACACAATGATTTCTAAGTTGGATGCGCATTATATTCTAATTTATTGGAGTAGATTTCGTTTGTTGTAGTAAATAACTTCCTTATTGTGCACTCGTTTAGTTTATTATATTATTATTATTATTGTTGTGAGGTCATTTAGCAATTCCCCTAACAAGAACTAGACTATATGCAAAATGTGCAAATTATGACGTCATTTTACCTTCCTCGTTACATAAACAATATAAAAATGACGTCATACTGACGTACTCGCACACCACTGTGACAAAACACATGTATCTTTAGTATCAACAATAGTGTCGTGTGTACAATATAAATTGAACAGTTGAAAATTATACCGCATACAGCGATAGAGTTGCGTATAACACTTGGTATTCAGTGTTTAATTGTAATATTCGAGCGAGTTCTATTTTCTAAATACGAAAAAATGTATTAATAAGACGTCTAATTCAATAGAACACAACGAAAAACAACATTATTCTTTCCGTTATTGTGTTTTCCTCGCTGGACGTTTCATAAATAATTTCGAGTGCATCGGAAATTTAAATTTCGATACGAATCAATTATTTATAGAACATCACGTAAGCCGTTTGCGACAGATTCTATCAGAATCTCTTCATTCCCGTATCACAAACTGACGTTTTTCATTGTCAGACGCACAAATATGCAAATTACTCTCAATTCCTTCTTTAAAACATTGTTTTTCATTAAAAAAAACTGTGCAGGTTCGGTTTTATTTCCGAGTTACTAACCGAATTCGACTGATGAAAACGTCAGTCTTATCGAATTTTTGTCGTTACAGTTTCAAAATGGCGCCCAACTTACGAAATATAGCAGAAATTTCAATCTCTATATTTAAATAATTCGTTAGGGACGACTGTAAAGACTTCGTTACTAGAAAAAAACAGGAATATTAGTGAATATTTCTTACGAATATTGGCTAGATCCATCCAAGGATTGGATTGGACTGATGCTTATAAGGCAGCGCAACACGTGGGCGATCTGCCAAGGATTTGCCTCCGTCTCCGGAGGATTTCACGTGCCTAAACCTAAATAGTGGTTCCCGGGAGCCCTGTTTAGGGGTAGGCACGCGAAGAAAACCCGGAAAAGGCGTGGTCAGCTCGTTGATGAGGCGCGAACCCACTACCAAGTGTTCAAAAATTTAATCCATCGGGTGTATCCATCCGGGAATGGATAGACGTAATCGTCTTTACAATGAATTTCGAATGGATTCAACGGCGTCAAATGAATTATTTTGAATATTAATTAAATATTCATAAATAAGAAAGAATATTTTTTTGAGAGAATATCGAGCTTTGTAAGCATTCGTGCTTCGAAAGTGGTATGTCGAGTGATCCTCCAAGAAGGTGTTCTTGTCGTTGGAATCGATATCGTCGACTGGCAGGATGTTAAATCGTCACGTGATACGGTGGCTATAAATTATAAGAGGGAAAATTCTGTTATTTTTAGTAGCAAACTCGATGCCAGATTGTCAATAAGTTAATCTTAAAAGTAACCGTCATCTTTACGTGTTATGTAACTATCACTTATTGCTCTTTCATATGCCTGTTAATTAAGCGTAAAAGCTCCGATATTGCGCTAAACTGTTGAGTTTCTGTAACCAAAAGTTAAGTATATGTATTATTAAATCCACGCACACACTACACTACACACTAACACACACGCGCTAGTCCGTGAAATACAGGTTTTTAGCAACTAAAAGCTGGATTATTTCTTTAAATTGAAATTAAAAATTTTATTTTTTAATATACGGAATATTTTGCTTTTAATCTCTAAATAGGAAACTTAAAATCTGTTCTTTTTTGTATTTTCAGATAATTTGATTCAATTAGTTGCCGCCTTTTAGTAATTTTCTGTATATGGTAAGTACTGTACGTAATTTATTTTTTCATACTTTGATTTATCGATTTTAGTCAACAAAATGTTATTTTAGTCGATAGAACATCCTCAAATTTCCCCATAAATGTTCTTTGAAGCAAATTTCGATGATCAGACACACGGTCGGATTATGAAAATGCTGATTATTTTCAATACATTTCTCTATTTTTAAAGACTAAGTCGTCAGATTTTGTTTAATAATAAGTAAATTTCAATGGTGTGTAGATCAAACCTCGATGTAGCGCTACCCCATACAGCGCCAGCAAGTATGGTGAGCGGATCTTACTCGTAAATATTGAACAGAGAAAGAATCTTTTAAACTCTCACACTCAAACCTGTATACAGTCGACTCCCCTATAACACTGTTGATAATTCCGTTTTATATGAATTCCATGTTGTACGAGTCACTTAGATTTTACAAATACATGTGCCGGGCTGTGAACGGCTCACGTATTTGTAAAATCTAAGTGACTCGTACAACATGGAATTCATATAAAACGGAATTATCAACAGTGTTATAGGGGGTAGACTGTATATACATCGTTACTGCATATAATTCGTATTGTTTGATATACTTCGGTTTAGCGCCACTTTCGATTTATAGGCGAACAAATGGTTAAGTGAAGCTTTGACTGAAGTTTAAAATATAAACCCAAAAATTCTTTTCTATTATTTAAAAAGTATTATTTTTTCAAACTGAATTATTTAGCGTCATATACAGCAGTGGTCACCAAAGTGGGGCCAATTAAATTTGTCATTTAATTTAAATGTATGTATATTGTTTAAAATAAATAAATAATTTGATTTTGACTACACACACACACACATATTATATTATATTATAAGGAGTATAACTTATAATTTTTTCGTCTTAGAGGTACAGTACGCGATCAAAAAAGTTTGGAGATCACCGATATACAGTACGAACAAATTTCGGGAATTTAAATTACCCCTAATCAACGCTGTCTATAACAATATTTAGCAGTTAAAATGCAACCAAGTCTGGTTTGTTGACATTTCGGGACATGAGGAAGACATTCCTGTATGAAATTAGTACCAAAACTCCGCACATCTATTTAAGTGTTAGACATGAAGAAACACAAACTCCACACGGCAAGCCCATTGGACAGGCGCGAACCCGCGACCAACTAGTGTTCGGTGGTGTTATCCACGCGGGCACTGGCGGGACCCGCGAACGGTAATTGATCCTTCTCACGTGGCTGCCGAATTTGCAACGTGTCCTCGATGAACCACGCTTTTTAAGTGTTCCGTAATCAAAAACTATACCGATTCAAAGTACCGTAACGGAGTGTATTTGTACTAAATTTTTACAGAAATGTTTTCCGCAAGTCTCACCATTCTAGATTTGGTTGCATTTGAACTGTTAAATATCTCTGTAGACAGCGTTAAATAGGGGTATCTTAATTACAATTACCTGATGTATTAATAAACTGGCAACTTTCTGAAATCGTCAGTCAGATGAAGTAAAGAGGAAGCGTGATTACACTTGATTAGTTTATGCAGCAGTGGAAAGTAACACACACAACGCTTTTTATGCAAATTAGAAGCTTTGGTTGCATCCTAGCCGAACTTTGATTGGTTTAAAATCGTATTCCCAGTATGGTTCTATAGGAAAACACCGGGTTTATTATCCCACGATCGAAACACCTTCGAGAATCCAACATTTCGATAGGTTCTAGGAGTTTCTGTAGCACATTTATTGTGACTGTTTTTTTTTATTGCCATTTTTCTGTATTTAATTTCCTTTACTTATCTAGAAGTTACCTTTGTTGTAGAATTTCATAAGATTAGATTCACCGACCACCGATTTAGCCATCCTCCTCCCCTACGAGTTTCAATTAGTTTTGCCGAATGCCACAAGCCTTTAGCCGAAATTGATTTACAGATTCAATTATGAATCTGGAATTAGTAACTAGATTTCTCAATTGATGGGTATAAGCCGCGGCCATCTCGAACCTCTTGAGCTGTGCCACTCGACTTTTATCGTTTGCTCGTTGCACCATGTCTACGCTTTATTTAAATCTTCGATTTTTCTTCCTTAACGTCACGTGTCCGTACATAAATGGAAACTGGTGCAAATCTCACCAGAGATCCACGCATTAGTGTAAAGGAACAGAAGCGCGTAAACGGGTTAAATTATTTCATGACAACTCAGATATTAGTAAATAAATACCGTATATTTATTGTTTCTCCTAGTAAAATATTTGTCCTTGAGTCAAACGCCTACAGTATACTCAAGGTTAAACGATTGATGTAACTACTGGTACTTTGTCTTCTCTACCTCTACCATCTGTCGTCTTCGAAGACGATAATAATTTGTATGTATCGTTCTGATAAGTTAATGGACATAGACACGAAATTATAAAGGAAAATATTAGTCTGTGTCATCCATAAACAAGAAAATGTAAAAAATTGACATTTTTAATTACCGTTATTTATTTGTTCCTGTTAAGTTTTTGGAGCGTAGTGAAAAATATGGAGGAGATCGTTCTTCCGTCGGCAGTCACTGCCGACGGAAGAACGTTCACAGAATCGATTTTCTTTCTTTTTTTCATTGACTTCTTCAATAACAAGTTTCGAATGTTCTTGCGAAAGTCGAATTGATCGGATTATAACCCGCGGGATAGAATCTTTTCGAATCTTTGACGCGTTTTTAGGCTCGGAATTTCGATAAAGGGGCATTTCAGTGTTTTTGGATGGATTTATTTCTCGAAATAGATTTTGTTCAATTTCGTGATTGATGACTGCAAATATGATTTTCGAAAAATCAGTGTATTAGCCAACAGAATATCGATTCTTTCTTCTCCTGCTATACTTATTCTTTTGAATTATTCTTTTATGCAATGTATTCTTGAACATCCCTAGATTCTTCGAAGTCAAAAATCAATGTACTGCATTGCATATTTTCAGTGTCGCTACTCTGCAATTCGCTATACAATCCGGTCGACCCTGACATCGTTTGGGCCGTCCATAAATCACGTAAGGTATTTTGAGGTGGGTGGGGGTCAAGGATTTCTTACGATTTCTTACTCAGGGGTAGGGGGTAATAGAGATCGTCTTATGTAATATTCTTATTTTTATTTTTTGATCTCGTTGAGTGGTGGCGTTTTGAATTTGGCTTCAATTTGGCGGTTTCTATTAAGAACGCTCGTGTGACGTGATAGAGTAATATTTTATCGCTAGCAGATTCACGCTCTATACATTTTTTGTCACGGGAGAAAGGCCATGTGGTGGTTTCTCTCTCTTGTTTTTTTATTAGAATAAGTGCACCACTCCTATGGGTGTATAACACTAAGAACACATAAACCAAAATACATGATACAAAGTAAACATAAAATTTGTATTCGGCTTTTAGTGAAAACTAAAATGTAAAACTAGAAATTATAAATTATAAATAGTCTTTTCTTCCATATTTTTGAACATAATTGTAAAAAGCATGAAACAGTGGCTTCTGAACAAGCTTATCGAGTGGACATGGCCACCTGAAACCAAGCGTAAAATTTCTAATTTCAGAATAAGTCTATCTTGATCGTAAATTTGACAATGATAGATCATATGGTCGACGGTGTCTAGGTTTTCTGTAGAGCAAAAGCAAGAAGCAGCTTCTGCCCGGTTATACATCACTAGGTAGCTTCTAAAATTACCATGTTCAGTAAGTAGTTGAGCAGTAGCAAACGTTAGATCTCTAAGTAGTGTAGAGAACCTACATTCAACACTAATAGTCTTGTTATTCTACCAGTTTTACTGCTCAACTACTTTTACTGATTCCACTTTTGCATAGCATTGTCATGAATATAATTTTTAAGGCTGCTACGTGAGAGAGGGATGCGAATGTAGTCCAAATCAGTGTCCTTTGCAGCTGACTTAGCCTCAAAGTCGTCTTTTTCATTTCCTAGTATGCCAATATGGCCAGGAACAAATATAAAAGTTATCTTATTTACAAGATTTTTAATATGGTGCTGGATATATGCGATTTTATTGGTATTGAATTGGGATTCAATAGAGCTTTTAGGATAGACTGAGAATCGCTGTAATTGTTGATAGACAGAGTTTTGTTTGGTAGTGAAGTGGCCCACTGAACAGCTTGATAGTCAGCATCTTCTTCAGCTTGATAGATGGAGGTATGTGGGAGGTATCAGTACCTTCTAACATATTTTTGGCAAAATATGTCAGTTTGGAGGACGATACAGATACTTGAGCCGACAAGAAGGGAGCTTTTGGACCCATCTGTGTAGATATTAATGTCTGCGTAGTTATCCATGGAGGAAGCAGATGACACCGAATAACCTTGTTTACAGGATGATGATCAGAGATAGTAGGGTAATTGCAATATGGTAGCATATGAACAGCCGTAGATGGGAGTAGAGACCATTGTTGAGCCTTGACATCTGAAGTTCTGATGTAGTAGTTTAGAACCTTTTCTACAATACATAGTGGCAAAGGAAGGAGCTCTGCCAGTATCAGAGAGGCATTAGTAAAAACAGTTCTGCAGCACTTCGAAATTCTGATGGCAAATTGGCTTTGAAGAGAGAGTAATTTACTTGTTAGTGAATTTTTACTAGTTACATGACCACAGCCAGAGGCCGTGTAAAGTAGCATTGGTCGTATTGCCCCATTATATAGAGTTTTATAAGCTTTATTATTTAGTCCCCAGGTGCGCCTAGCACATTTTAGCAGCATGTAGTTTATTTTCTTGGCCTTAGCCAAGATGTAATCAATATGGCAACGGAATGTGGTTTCTCTCTATTCTGTCTTGTTTTATTTTGTATGACATTTCTGTTTACATGTGCACTAGCTAGTCGATCTGGCAAAGTTTTTTGCGTCTTTTGTAAAAATTAAAATTAATATAAAAATATATAGGCCTATAATGACGTTGATTAATGATAATAATAATATTGTTAATAATTAAAAAATAAAGTTCTTAAAATAAATTGTTTATTCGAATTCAGTAAATTTTTATATT